TGTATGCCTGTCTAGAACCGGCCCAGTATATAATATAGACTTGTAAAAATGCTAAAAATCAGATTGAAAAATTTGCACACATATAACTATGTATCCAAGGAAGGCGTTGCTATGGACGTGGGGGTGTCATCAGTGCCTTTTTTGAAACATGTGAACAGGAATTCTTCAAATCACAAAGAGACACTAAAGTGATGCTTTAAAGCTTTAATGCAAAGAAATCTGTTAACTGCAGTCAGCTACCATGGAGTGACAGTGCTTTACAGGAAAGAAGCTAAAAGTAAGACAGCTTATGAGATGAGTACAGCGGGCAGTGTCGGTTTCTGAGGAGTTCACATCTCAGCTGGAGCTTTCCCAGGACGGTGGATGTAGTCGTTTATGAAGGTCAGATACTTTGCAACCTCAGTACAGACGCCAGGGCCGTCCTTGGGGCCACAACCACCAGAACTCATGATTCCCACCTGAACGAATTTCCCCCCTTTACGGCACACCAGTGGACCACCATAGTCTCCCTGTGGAAGCAAAACGCACAACTTAGACTTAGATTCAACAATAAACTCCAAAGTAATGAGTAACTGTTACTAGTTTCTGTCAAGTAAATTCAGCTGAGTGAAAGTAAAGTACTTCATGTGTGATAAATCAAAAAGTGTTTGTTTATTTCAAAGTAGTAATAATCCATTTGATTAAATGCAAAAGACTACAACAAAGGGAAAAACTCACTTTGCAGGCACCCCTTCCCTTGCTGTCATTTGTGCATAGTGTATTAGAGGCTATCTGAGGAAACCTCTCCTTACAGGTACTCTGAGAGATGATGGAAATCTTGAGCTGCTGAAGTGTTTCTGGAGCTTTCAGTGGAACTGTGGACACACAGGAAAAGTATGGAAGTGACAGAAAGGTGATGTTTCTTATCTGTGAAGTGCCTTACTATGCAAAGTATGGATGTAGGTTATGTTTATACACAATTAAATACAGTTTACTGGTGACAGTATGGCAATTTACAATGGATCTGTGAGCCTGCCTTTTACAGCGTGAACATTTTAAAGCCTACTTTCTGTGCTTAACTTACCACCATTTCCCACTTCCCCCCAGCCAGTCATCCAGCACTCAGATGATGGACCAAAGGTGTCATCCTTGTCAGGCAGAGCCACTGGTGCAACATCTTTTGAAAATGTAATCGGTTTCTTCAGCTTCATCAGAGCGATGTCATTTGTGTTGCCGTTGCCCAGGTCTTGGTATTGAACAATATTGGCTATATCCATGTAACGGTTAGCCGCCTTTTGCAGCTGATATGCGCCGACAACAACGAACGATCGATGATAATGAAGACTGCATGACAAGAGAAACACACACATTAAGTCTCATGTATTTTGGAATGACCAAGCCTTCAACAAAACAACACTACACATGGGTTTTGTGGACACTGGTGCATTCAGCAGTTTAAAGGGCTGCACATGCTTTTTCATAGTTGGCAGGGACTAAAAGAAAAGGAGCTGCAGTGGAGTAAACATTACATTAGTTTGGACTTGATGCAGTGTCTGCTGGGTGTGTAAATATGCAGCTACTCACTAAAAACACAGCTTAAAATGCTGAAATGTGCATATGGTGTATTTAAATACTGACTGAGGCCTCCAGGTCTGACAAGTTAGGCGAGTGGGAAAGTGT